GTGCGCAGCCCGCGCAGCTGCTGCTCTGCCGTGGCCAGCTGGGCCTCAGCTGCGTGCCGTTCGCTCTTCATGAACAGGGCCTCGCGCTGCACCTGCGGCCCAAGCCCACGTGTGACCCTGAGGACACTTGGACCCCAAAGATGCCTGAACCCCAGACTTCCTCTGACCCCCTATTTTGTCCTGAGGACCTTCAAGCCCATTTTGACCTTGAGGAGTTTGATTCGGGGAAGTCCCAACTCCACAGGGCATGATACACATTCTGACCTGGCCAAAGACCTCTGATCTGCTAGCTGTGTGGCCTTAGACAAGGGACTTAACCTCTCTGTGCCTCAGATTCCTCATATGTGAAATGAGAATAATAACAGCTCCCCACTCCATAGGGTAGTTGTGAGGATAAAATGAGCAAGTGCATGGAATACAATTAGAACCGTGTCTGGCACACATAAGTGCTATATTCGAGTGGGTGGTATTATTACCACTAATGTTCTTTTCTCTGCTAGTGGTTGAAGGTTTGTAGATTTCTTACAAAATGAAAGAAAACTAGAAGAATTTGGATGAAAAGCAAACAGATGTTCAAAAGTTGATGACTGCATTTTCACAAAAATATCAAGATCCGAGCAATGTGAGATTTGCAAAAATTGATCCTAGAGAAAATACTGACCTTTATAGAAATAACAGCTCCAGGGAAAAGTGGATAATGACTAGATGTTTCAATTAGTGTAGATTGGCACACATTAACTATTTAAATAAATCCTAAACCGATTGATAAATCAAATCAGACTTGTAAAGTTTACCCAAAAAAGAAGTGATCACAAGGAAGGTAAAATTATAAAGACATCCATAAAGATGGTTATACTTAGGTTGGTCTGTGACCAAGGGTTTAACTGGTTTAAAAGAGGGATTTCTTCCGGCTGATGTGGCTCAGCGGTTGAGCATTGTCCCACGAACCAAGAGGTCACTGGTTCAATTCCTGGTCAGGGCACATGCCCGGGTTGCAGACTCAATCCCCAGGAGGGGCCGTGCAGGAGGCAGCTGATCAATGATGTTTTTCTCTCATCAATGTTTCTATCTCTCTATCCCTTTCCCTTCCTCTCTCTCTGAAAAGCAATAAAGGGGGAAAATAAATTTAAAAAGAGGGTGTTTGCCCTGGCCGGTTTGGCTCAGTGGATAGAGCATCGGCCTGTGGATGAAGGGCTCCAGGTTTGATTCTAGTCAAGGGCACATGCCCGGGTTGCAGGCTTGATCCCCAGTAGGGGGCGTGCACGAGGCAGCCGATCAATGGTTCTCATCATTGATGTTTCTATCTCTCTCTCCCTCTCCCTTCCTCACTGAAATCAATAAAAAAATATTTTTTAAAAAAAGGGGTTGTTCTTGGAGAAAGAATAATTCTGCCTGTCATTTACAGATTGCTTGTACCATCACTGTCCTAAGTAGCTAACATAAATTAAACCACTTAATTTCCATGTGAGGACTAGGAATTATTATCTCCGTTATACGGGTGAGTTAACAGAAGCTCAGAGAGGAAAATGCTTTCCTGACAAGTAATGAATGTAGCTTCTTATTTACATATTCGTTAAAACAGTTCCAAGTTTTGTTTAATTTAAGAAAAAAGATGGAGTCCACCATCAGGGACAAAATGAATAACAAATAGAAAACTCAGCATAAAAATCTACTGGATTACAAATTAGATTAAAAATCCCTGTGCACGAGTTCCTCCTCCAGAAGGGGTTAAAGCATCAAAATGACCATAAGATAAAATGACAATCTCAAAAGAGCCAGTTGGGAAAAAAAAACATAGGGTCATTTTGACCAGCAGAGAAAATGGACTTTTGGTAAAAACATCAGGGTAAAACCTCCAACTCACTGCTTGCAAAAACAATGAGTAAACATTGATCCCCACCTCACACCATACACACAATTAGAGCCAAAGCATAAACAGGATTGTGAAACAAAAACAATAAAGATGCTGGTAGAAAACACAGGAGAATTTCTCCATGACTTCGGGATAGAAGCAGATTTTATAAAAAGATTGCAAAAAGTGGTAACTATTAGGAAAAAAAGATAGGGTCGAAATAGCCAAAAGGATTTAAAGAAGAAAACAGAAACAAAACAAAAGAAGAGAGAGAGAGAAAAAAAAAAGGAAGAAGAAAAGGCAAGTTGAAACATCTAGGAGGTCAGAATAGCCACAGGGTCAAAGGTTGACCCAGAAACACTGGCAGGTTCTAGTGTCTATAGGATTGAAATCTATGGGATTGAAACATCCTTTGGCTGCAGGGTCAAAGAAAAAACGACAACATAGGGTCATTCTGACCAGCAGAGAAAATGAACGTTTGGTAAAAACATCAGGGTAAAACCCCCAACCTAGAAACACTGGCAGGGGCTGGTGTCTATAGGATTGAAATCGATGGGATTGAAACATCCTTTGGCTGCAGGGTCAAAACAGATGGCTGCTAGGTATGCCTGGTAGGGGCTCGGCCATGCTCACCTGGAAGACCTCAGCACTGGTCTTTTCGTGGCGGCGTCCTAGTTCCTCCAGCTGCCCCTGCAGCCGGGCCACGTCGGCCTGAAGTGCGCCCACTATGCGCTCGTGCTCCAAGCGGGACACACTGCCCACTCGCTCCCGCTCTAGCTCTGCCCGCAGCCGGGCAGCCTCCTTGCCCGTGGCCACCACCTCCTGCTCCAGGCTGGCCGCCCGGCCCCCTCCCGCTGGGCCAGCTCTGCCCGCAGGCCCCGGGCCTCCTCCTCGGCCAGCAGCCTGGCCGCTCGGGCCTCGTCCAGCCAGGCCAAGGTGGCCTCCAGCTCCCGGAGGCGAGAGTCCCGGTCTCGGAGGTCCTCCCGGGCCTGCTCCAGGGCTGCCCGCAGTTGGACCATGTCACCACTGCCACCAC